TGACTAGTTGCTCTGGCTGGGAAGGAAGATACTTTACAAGCATAAAATGTGAAATGGGCTCTGGGTGGAGGTCAGTCTTGAGATGACCATGCATGGCTGCTGTCTGGAAGGCACTGCAGTTCCAGGAGTGCTGTGTGTCTTCCGCAGGGCTTACTGGCCCATGAAGTTACCCTGCCGACTTCTGAAGAGCTAAAGTGGCAGAGGTGATGGTCAGCATAGTGTGTAAGCTTGCATTTGGCTAAAGCAGATATTATGGGAGGGTGCCTGGAATGGTTTCGGTAGAATTTCAAAAGGACTTTGAATACTCTGGAGATTTGTGACTATTCAGTCGGTTACAAGGAATCAAAGAAGATTCTGGACAAACAAAATAGAATTATTTGAAACAGAGTTCAGAGAAATTACTCCGTATGCAAAGAGGATGCAAATGAATTAACCAAGCATTTAGGAGATGATCATAGCATTTTATAAAAATGCCCCCAAACCCAGTGCTTCCTAGGAACCCACTTACTGTGCTCTCAATTCTTAAATTCCGTTGTGGAAACTGGGAGATCCAGGAGCCCCTGTGGAGACTGTTCCTGGCGTCTGACAAGCACTGTGCCTTCTTGTGTCATCCAGGGTCCTGACGTTTTGTGAGATAGTGAGGGGCCAGGGAAAAGACTATTTCTTATCCTTCTGGCATCTGAGTATGGCAAAATTTTAAAAGCTCAGGCAATGAAATATAGCATATTTAGCAGGAAAACTGTGAAAGAAAACTGAATTAGCTGGAAACTGGGTCCTTTTATCCTGCCCCGCTTCCTTCTTCCTTTGGCCTGCGTGGAATGCTAATGTGATGTTGTTCCAGCAGCTATCTTGGGCAATGAGATGGCCTTGAACACAATAGTAATCTGCTAACCAAAATGAAGCAGGAAGTTGCCCTGAACATTTCTTCGGATCTTGTTTATGATTGTTTGGTATGTCCTATTAGATACCATGGAACCTAATCCTAATTAATGGAGCCATTTTGCAAAAGTAAACCTTTTTGATTTAGAATTACTCCCTCAAAGTACTTTCTAGGATCTCCTTGTGGTAGAGAACCCTGGGGACAGCATTAAGCATGAGCACTCGGTTTGTTTCCACAAGTCTCCAGCACTGAAGTATACTCGGCTGTCTCCACCAGGGTGACACAGCTTTCATTCTGCTTCCTGAAATGCCCTGCACCCGTCTCCTTCCTTGTCATCCTGGCCACTGCTGCTTAGCTCAGTTCCTCAGATTTCCCGAGCTGTCTCCAGTTTTTCGCACCCTCCACCGTGTTCCATGTCCTCCCTCCCTTCCACACTTGCAACCGCGTGCCATGCCCAGTGTTGAATCCAGCCACATCGTTTCCTTACCTAGAATCTTTCTACGGCAACAGACTGCCCAGCAGGAAATGGCCCTCAGCTTCCTCCTAATCCACTGCACACATCCACGTCCAGCACATCTGTCTTGAACTCCCAGGCGCACCGCCCTCATCCACCTCTCCTCCTCTTCCCCGCAGCCATCGGGCTTCTCCGCATCCGTATTTAAAGATGTGCTACTTACCTAGGACAGCAGTGCTCAAAGATCTGGCCTCAGAACCAGCGCCCTCAAAGCCACTAACTTATGTCAGGCCCATCTATTGAGGTGTGCCATTTAGAAATTTAAAATGGGGATAATTTTGAGTATTTTCATACTTACTTCCAAATTACAATTACATATACTAGCATATTTAAAATATTTTATGAAAAATACTGTTTCAAAAATATTTCTGAGAAAAGTGGCATTGTTTTGCATTTTTGAGAATTCTCTAATGCCTGGCTTAATAGAAGACAGACTGCTTTGCCTGTACCTATCTTTAATCTATTCTGAAGTGATGTCTCTTAAGCACAGGGAGCGTGAGGATGACTTCATTCTTTGAACCTGACCCAAGCTCAGTGAGTAGCCACTTCTTAGAGAGATGTGGTGTGGGGCCTGAAACCTGCGGTGGAGGCTCCCGGTCTGTCAAACCGAGACGTCCTTTGGCCTCGACCTCTCGAGGCCAAGATGAGACCATCATGATACCCAGAGGTCTTTAGCTGGGACAGACAGCTCTCCCAGGTGTCAACACCAGCCGTCATGTATCGAAAACCCCACAGATTGGTACTCACACAGACCTCCTCAGGGAAGGCTTCAGGGCTCAGGAGACTGTCAGGTTCATAGTGGTGGATCCACAAGTTTCAAAATTTTGTTTTTTACTGCAAAACTCAAATTTTATCATTGACAATCAACACTGATAGTTGTTTTTCATGAAGTAAAAATAAAAATATTCTCTATGAAGGGGGCCCAAGTCTGAACAAGCATAGCTATTCTAAACATTATTCTTCTTTCCACACAAAAGTGGTTCTGGGAACAGAGCAGTGAGTTCAGCTGCCTGCCAACCTCTGCTCTTCGCGGCAGCTTACAGGGCCGCGAGCGGCAGCAGGGCACGGGCATCCGACACACACGAGCAGGGCGTCGCAGTGGGCTGAGGTGCAATAGCAGAACATATTTACTTTTTCCTGCCTACTCCAGGCCCCCCGCGAAGAAACCCGGCACTTTGGTGGTGAGTGCCAGGCCGGGAGCGAAGGCTACCTCAGAACCGCGCTGTGAGTCGCGGGAGCCACGGAGCTTTCCAGCCACAGCTGTGGTGCAGTCAGGGCCGAGGCCGTTGTGGAAGAAGCAGGTGGTCTCGCGGCTGGCAGGACAAGACTTTCTCCCGATTGACGGCCTCGGCGAGCCTGGCCTTCCTCGGGAGCCCGTCCAGCGGCGAGAACCACTCTGTGGGGGAATCTTGCCTCCCTTTGCCTCTGAGGAAATTAGCTTTTCGGCTCCGATGGCAAGCTCCAGCGGACGCTGCCGACCTCTGCGCGACCCTGGCCCGCAGTGCGTGTGGCTGGCCTGGGAGTGAGCCCTGGGTGCCCTGGGCACAGAGCTGTGGACAGCGGGCACTCACAGCAGGAACTCCCCGTGCTTGAAGCCTTCGGCTCTGAGGCGTTGTTGATAGAGGTGACCGTACTGTCCGCGAAGGGACCAAGAGGCAGAGGCGAGGCAGCCAGCTCTGCATTTAGGAGCGGAGAGGAGAGGTGGTGAGAAGTGACCAGGTGTGTCTGGCTTGTCCCACAGCCGGCCGCGCTGCCATGCCTGAGTGCTGTGATGCCCAAAAGCCCTACCTCTGGAAGAAATCTTTTATATAAGTTTTAAAATTATATGAAATGGTAAAATTTGAAAATCGTATAAACTGTAATTGTAAAACTATATGAAGCGTGCTGTCACTTAACATTAAGTGTCCCAGGGATAAAATCCTGACGGAGGGGCCGAGGGTGGGAAATCTCCCAGTCTGCACTGTCCACGCCGAGCTGGCCGCTGCTCTGCATCTAACCCGGCCCGGTGACAGCACCCTCTCTCTGCCGCCTCCCTGTGGGAGGGCAGTTCCTCCCCTGGATCTTCCACCTGACACAGCACAAAGACAGGACATCTTATGTTTATGCAAATTTAAGTAAATTAAACATATGAATGGATAAGCAAGGAAAGAGAAAGAGAAGGAATAAAAAGATCACATTGATCTAGCCATAAAATCTCGCTCTATTCCTTTCCAGCTGAGTCCTTCCATCTTTCTGACCTCCGTGACCCACTGTAAAACACCTAGGCCCCACTGCTAATGCTGAATCACAGGAGACCATGGAAAACCTTCACCAGGCAAAGTTGTCTTCTGTTATGAAACTCACCCTCCATGAGGCGACAGAACTGCACGATCGATGGTTCTTCCAGTTGGGAGACTATAAAGCTCATGAAACATGTATTTTGTAAATCAGAGGCACCCAAACAACTCCATCCACCTTCCCCATAACTACTTAAAGCAGAACTTGGAAATTCAGCCCCTCAAACTGTTGGGCAGGACTGGCCCACGTGTCAGTGTCAATTCTACGCCTTTGACAATCTTTTAGTCCCCACTTCCTGTCTGCGAGCCAGGAACAAGGTCATCTTCCGGTTGCCCTAAGATTAAGTGAGGTACGTCTTGTCTTGTCGGTGATGTGTGAACAGTGCTCAGCAGGAGAGAAACAGCATCTGGTATGTCACCAGATTCTCTTCTCTCCCAGAAGGACCATGTGCTTAGGCTTCCTCAGGAAGTTCAGACGGAGATAACCTCTGTGGAGGAGGACGCATTCAATGTGACCCAGACATCGGAAGATGGGCCTCTGCTGCCACGGGACACCGCCCTCCTGGTCTATGCTCTGCCCTGCTCCTGCAGTTTCCTGCCCAGATTTTAGTTCAAAGGAAAGGCAGGTATTTTCTGCCCCTTTAGCAAAGGATTCGCAGTGCACTGAAAAGGCACCAGAGTGACGAACAGTATTTCAAGACACCGGCAGGGTGTAAATCCGTAAGGAGCAGACTCGAACTAGGAAGACGTGAACTCTGCATCTGTCCTGTCCCAGGGTGGAGAGCTGGGCCAGCTGATGAAGCAGAGCAAGCACCGGTTTTGCTCTGTGCAAAACGGAACCCTTGTCTCTTACCTGTGGCAAGCGAATAGGCACTGTGTCCAGGCGCCACACAGACGGGGCTTCCCTTAATTCTTACAACAATCCCACCACGGTGCAGTACTGCCGCTGTTGTGTCTAACGAGACGCTTGCAGTCGGCTGTGTTTACTTAGCTTGTTCGGGGTGACAGGATTAACGCCTGGGATTCCCTCTGTCGCAGACGTGGTCCGTCTTAGAAGCCGGAGGTGAGAGAGAATGGGAGGAGCGAGCGCCAAAGGGCCACAGTCCGGACTGCAGCCCCCGGCCGGCCAGGAAGAGCGAGCCGGGCCGGGCCGGGCCTGCTTTCCGGCCCGCGTGCCCTCGCCTTTCACTTCGTTCCGCTGGCCCGTTTGCGGTGTGCCACGTTCGGCTCCTCGTCTGGAGTTGGCGCGCGCACAGAACACATCTTCCTGCCTTTCTCAGCCCCACCCCACCCCTCAACCCCGTCCCCTTCGAGAAAGATCTACCTCCCTTCTTCCTGTCAGCCAGCACGTATTTGCTTTCTCCACACTTTGGTCTCTTGTATAAGAGAAACAGAACCTGACTTTGAAGTCCTTACCTCACTGTGTACCATGTGCATGTCCTGACAAGGCCCCTGCTTCACCGGGCCTCAGTTTTCTCGTCTATAAAACGGGCAGAGTTGCAGGCTGCCTCCCAGGACAGTCCTGAGACTCAGAGAAGATCCAAGCTGTGCAAATGCTGTGTTCCACACAGCCCTATACAAACACACACTATTATTATTATTATTACTATCACCATTGTTATTACACCGAGTTCTTTGGGCAAGACACTTACGTTAAACTGACACAGCACGTAATTGGAGTGCTCAAGTTAAATAAATGAAGTCAGCTGTCTGATTCCTTTAAGATAAATGATGTTATTACAACATAATTGCATAACCCCATATAGCTTACAGCAGCAAAAGGATGTGTATTTCACATGCCCTCCTATAATTATATCCCCATTATAATTTTGCAGTTAGTTGCGATGAGCTCTGGTCATGAAAACATGCCAATTTTGTATGGGATTGAAGTCTGCCTAATTTTAGCAAATTGAGAGTCACACAAAAGAAAAGAGATAAATACTATGTTGTTATTTTTCATTAGAGAATTGCTATATTAAGAGGCTGCAATCCAGCTGTGTTTGTTTAAATAAAAGTGTGATTTGAATACCTCCTACAGCTAATGTTCCTGCCAATGAATAAAAGATAAAAACTGGGCTCTGGTCGGATGGGAGTCGCTGCGTTCTAGCTGACTTGGAGATTTATTGTTCCACAGAAGGAAGTGGGAAGCACGGATGGTGACCACACGCAGCGGCCTTTTGTGTATTGTTTCAAGCCGCGCCACTAATAGATTTCTTCCACTGCGGCTCCCAGCAATTCAGCTGTGCTCAAATGCTCCACTTAACTGTGAAAAAAATAAGAATAAAATAGTAATTATGCCTCAGTGGCTAGTGCAGCGCAGCTCGGAGCCACAAGGAAGAAAGTAAACAGGAACAAGTATCGCTCAGGGAGGGAATGCGCATCTTGTTCGCCGTGATAATGGATCTGAGCCTCTTTCTTTCTTCAAACAGACCCTCTCCCTGTAGGCAGCACCCCCGCGTCTCCTGTGTTCTCCTGAAATCCACTGCCCTCCCAGCTGTTGTGCCCACAAGGAAAGAGCGAGGTGGCACCCAAGTTGTGGCCACCGTAGGGTGCAACCCGTGGTGCCAAGGGGCCCAGCACATGGGAGGTGACACGCAGGACATGCATTCCTCGTCTCTGAACCAAAGGTCTGGCTGTTATTTTCCATGCCATTATCTCCCTTCTTGCTCCTGACAGTCATTTCTTGCCATCCTCCCCTTATGAGTAGCCAGGTATGATTGTCCTCATAGAATACACACACACACACACACACACACACACACACACACACACACACACGGCATTCTTCTCCTACCCAGGCCTGGCAAGTGCTACCTACCCGCTGGCTGACTTCCATTTCCTCTCCTCTTGTAGAGAACTTCTCTTGATTTTCATGACTGAATTCAACGTCATCCCCCAGCAATCTGCCCTGCCCTGCCCTGCCCTGCCCTGCCCTGCCCTGGGTGCTCCAAGGACAGGATGAACACACCTTCCCTTGTGGCAGGAACACCATGCCACCTGCCATGCTGAGCCTCAGCTCAGGGCTGAACTATACCAAGAGACATCATCACAAGCACCCTGTCCCTGCCCTGCACTGGGGAGCATATCTCCGCCTTCCCTTCCTGCCTTTGCCTTCCCACTGATCCTTCCCATCCACCAGATTACAGCCGTCATGAGCAACCACTTGTGATAGCAGTGTATTTTCCAGATGTGTTGCGCTTGGATGAGGAGATCACCAATTGTACAGACATGGCTTTCGTGTGTCCTTGAGGGTGGGAACTGTGTCTTTTCATCATATGTGTGTCCTCAGGGCCCCAACCCTGCCTAGAACTTCATAGATGTATAGTAAATGATGGATGGATGGATGGAGAAAATAAACACAATTTAAGACTGATGACATGCAATAAGTGAAAACAACTTGTAATTAGAGCCAAAATGAGTGACAATCCATTTATAGCTGGAAAAAAAGGAGGCTCTTTATATAGAAAATGACCATTGTGGTAGAACTCTAAAGATCTCGTGACAAGGAGAGAATTCCCTAGGCCAAGATTGTGGTAAGAGTGACTCCTTAGCAAATGTACCAGAAGCGACACCATCCAAAGTGGAAATCTGCACATAACTAACCTCTGAAAACTTCAGAACTGTTTCCCCAGCTCTGCAGTTCACAGGCATGAGGAAAGCGTATCCCCAAAGGCTTTGCTCTGTTGCTTTTTACAAACCCAGATTTGAGTCAATCAGCTCACACCCACCGAGTACCCCTCTGGAGCTTGGTGCGGGTGTGCAGTGTGTGCCCAGTGTTCAGATGGGACAAGCGGACTAACAAGCTCAGCACTGCCACCACCAGGAATGAGGGAGGCATCACCTGCTTCCTCACAGCTCCACTGCCCCAGTCCAGGTGCACCTGGTGCGGGGCTGGCATTTGACTCTGCACGCAGGCTGCGGCACCTTAAGAATAGATTTTCTGTGTGTACACGGTAAACACTAGTTTAACCCTTATCTGTCAACGGGGAAAACTAAGGGGAAACTCGGTGTTCTAACCACCTTCTGCTTATCTGAAAATGGGGTTGATTCCACATACCTTATAGCTATGGCAGGAGATGTGAGAATAAAAAGAAATTCAAATGAGCTGGTAAGGATGGAAGGGGGAAGGAGGGCAAGGGATGAAAAAAGGATTAAGATGTGTTGCCAGGGCTTTCGCTCAGTGGCTCCAGTGCCTGCCTCGCAAGCGCAAGGTCCCGAGTTTGATCCTCGGTACCAAAAAAAAATATGTTCTGTTCATGTATGAATGTAACCATTAAGTATTGCAAACATGAACTAATAAAAAACCCAAAACGGTAAAGAAAACATGGATGTGCTCCTGCCTCGGGTTAAAATGCCGTATTCAAATGATGTGGCACGCGGGCAGTTCTAAAGCACCGGGTGTGGAAGTCGATTTCGTTAAGACCCAGCAGAGGCCTGTGTGGCCGATTGCCAAAACCAGGGGTGCTGGAAGGTTCAGGAAGGTCAAGGAGTCATGCTTATACTGTCTGAGTCAATTGCTTAACCAAATGCCCGAAGTCCAAATAAAATGTATTTAAACAGTAACCGTCACGATCAAATTAGAGTACGTGTTTTTTCTAAGGGAACAGCACAGGGACCAACTAGGTATGAAAACCTCAGAGGGATCTGAACAGCAGGTTTCCCACCTAAGAAGATATGCAGAATGGGTCCATTCCCGCCATCAGAAAGGATGATCATTATTATCAGCACTGATAACAAACTGAGCTATGGCAACGTGCTGAGGTGCTGGGCAGACATGGTTTGTCAGGTGGATGATACTCACCTCCATTCCATGCGGCAGTTACTCTGGCTGCATCTTGCAATATCTAGAAGCAGGCTGTAGGGACTGAGCGTGGGACCTGCAGGGAAATGCTGGCAGGGAAGTGTTATAGCGATGCTGGAACATGCGCCTGGGGACTCCCTTCACACTCCAAACGGAGAGGGCACATCTTCATGCGGAGCTGAAAATAGCCACCAAATCTCCAAGGCTTCTTCACTTGGAAGAATTTGGATAGAGCATGTTGTGAGGCATCCTCCAGGGAATTTCTTGGAGATTATCATTTTTCAAAAGGGATAAAATGAAAGTAAAGGATGACAGCCTGGATGGCACCGTGAGGCCTTCTAATGCAAAGGAGGAGAGTGTTCTTTGTCCAAACCAGCCCGGACCATCAGTGGCCTGTGGGTTTGCGACCAGGACACAAAAGAGGGCCAGGCCTAGGTGCAGGGGCTTCAAGGGCCCGTCCTCTGGGTCTGAGGCCTCCGACTTCAGATCCCACTCTCAGCTTTCACCTTCTGAGAAGGCTGCTCCCCTCTGCCTGGTAGAACATAGCAGCACAGACCTTAGAGAGGCCTTGGGGAATAGTGGTGGCTCTGTGGGCCCTGGGGCTGCTCAGCATCTCAGAGAAGGCTGAGCTGCAGAGAAGGAAGCACAGAGTCCCTGAGGGCCAGCACCTGGTGTCCTCTGTGGAGAGCAGAGAACGTCCACGGGGACTGAGTTGGGAGATTCCAGAGGACTCTGAGCCAGAGCTGGCCCTGCAGACCCAGGTCTGCATCTGTCTTGGAGTGATGGTGGCCAGGTGCCCTCCTCTCTGGCTGGCCCTGGGCAGGTGGCCCGGGTGGCTGAGCAGAGCCTGGCTGGTGCAATTGCTGCGGGATTGTAGGAATGGTCAGTTTCCTCCTTCTGGAAGTCTGAAGCCAATTCAGTGTGAGATCCTGGTCATTTGAGAAAGAGTCAGAATGAGCACCAGGAGAAGGTGAGTGCGGACATATATTTTCGATACCCTGGATGAACAGGAACAGGAAAGTTAAGGAACAAAGAGGATACAATGTTTTATCAGCAGTAGCAGGAAACCACTGAGATGCTCACCGGTGTTGCACTACAAACAAGCAAACAAAAACGTTGTGTGCTCAGCTAAGTCTAGAAAATCTAGTCTCCTGTATTTATATCCATCTTGAATAACAACTCATATTAGTACATCAAATGCTCAGAGAAAGCTTATAATTTAAAAAAATTTAATTTTGTTCAATCTCATATTTAATCATGTGTTTGGATATTGTTTTATTTCATTCTACTTTTAAAACACAGTACCATAGATGCCTCTCGAAGCCCCAGTGATCTTATGCGTTCCAGATAGATTTGGAGAGCTGAAAGTGACAGCGTGGCTCCCAGCTCCCGAGGGCTCCCCCGTCTGAGGTCGAGCTCCCTGTGTGTGATCCTCATCTGGCTAACTTCGGCTCGGCCATGGCACCACCTCCTGAAAGCCTTCCCGAACTGTCATCCCTCACCCTGCAAGTGAGTAGGTCCCAGGGTTCAGTAGGTGACCGCAGGTTGGATTCTCCTTGGTGAGAGTCTGCTGTCCCTCCTGAGCTAGGGGTTCCTTAGGGTCAGCCCCACACCTGCCCTTCACAGGATTGTTAAATTTGTTCAGCTAAACTTCAGCGTTGAGTCTGATGAGACTTCCCACCCAGGTAATTTTGTAACCCTGCCTCGGTTGTCAGCGCAGTCAGAGCAGCTCACAAGACAGGACAGCTGGAAACACAGCTGCTTGCTTGCCAAACAGGCAGCTCCTGTCCAGGGTGTGTTAGCATGCGACCGGAACCCTTGCTGTGTGAAGTTGTATCTCAACAGGAAGTTCAGGGGGCCTCCAGCCACCAGATTCACCACTGCTCTCCTGGCTGTGACTCGCCACATTCTCACCAGCCAGGGGGCAGGTATTTCAAACCCACACTGACACTTGGCTTCGAAATCTTCCCTGTACGGAGTTGTACGGCCTCATTGTCTGTTCTATTAGCCCTGTCTCAGGCGCACAGTGAGACAGGTGGAGTTGCTTCTCTGTATTCAAGTGGCTTCAAAAACCAATGTTTTTTCAATTTTGATGAAGTCCAATATATCTTGTTCTTTTACGGCTATAAACTTTTTGATTCTTACCTAAGAAATCCTTTCCTACCTCAAATTTGCAAAGATGTCCTCCTATATTTTCTTCTGGAAGCTTTAAATTTTTAATTATTATACTTCTCTCCATGATCTACTTTGAGTTTTGTGTGTGTGTGTGGCGTGTGTGTGTCTGTGTGTGATGTAAGGGTCAAAGTATTTTTATTTTGGTTTTCCCAATGTGGTTATCTAGATCCTCCAGCATGACTTGTGAAAATACCAGCTTCCCAGAGGATTTTTTTTTAGAACTTTTGTTGAAAATTAATTGACCTAAAGGGAAAGTCTATTTCTGGATTCTCTTCTGATTCATTGATGTACCTCACTCCTTACACCAGTATCTCATTTTCTAGATCAGTTCTGCTTTAGAGCAACTCTTGAAATAAGAAATGTAAATATTATTCCAACTTTATTAGTTGTTTTTTTTTTCTAAACCGATTTATCTATCTTGTGCCCCTTGGCATTTTCATATGAATGTTAGAATCATATCATCAATTTCTACATTTTAAAAACCCTGCTGATATTTTGGCTAGCATCAGGTTGAATTTAGATCTTTTTTGGGAGAATTGGTTTCTTTCAAAGTTCTGAGGATGGTGTTTTGTTTCCAGTGTTTCTGGAAGCAACGTGTTACCATGTTTAACTTTGTTTCTCTATATGTCTCTTTTTTATTTAACTTGCTCTAAAATTTTTCTCTTTATCATTAGTTTTGAGCAATTTGATTATAATATCCCTTAGTGTGCTGTTCTTCATAGTTTTTGTACTTGAAACTACTGATCTTGATTCTGCATGTTTATAATATTCATTACATTAGAACTATTTTGGTGACTATATCTTCATGTATTATCAAATATAATTATCTTTCCTGTGTCCCTTCCAAGTCTTTAGGGACTCCAAATACATCTATGGTAGCTGGCCTGAAGTTATTCCCAACTTTACTTTTTCTCATTTTAAAAAAATTATTTTTTCTTCCTTTCTCCCTCTTCCTCCCGTGTTTATTTTTGGTAGCTTCTATTACTATATCTTCAAATTGACTAAAATTTACTTCTGCAGTCTCCAAGCCGCCATTATTACCCTCAAATTTATTTATCATCTCACTCATGGTCTTCGCCTCCAAAAGTTGCCTGGGGTCTTGGTATATTTCTGCTTCACTCTCATACCCATCTGAGTCCACCTGTCTGCTGGCTCTCGCCTTTATTAGCTCTGGGTCAGTATCAGTAGATTAATTCTTTGCCTCAGTGTATTTTCCTTGTGTGTTGCATGTCTGGTATTTTTAATTTAATGCCAGATACTGTGAATTTTGTCACAATTTTGTCGTTTGTGCTGTGTATTTTTTGTATTACAATCAATATTTATAGATTTTCTTCTTGTGTGAAGTCAAGTTGACTGGGAACAGTTTATTCCTTTCAGATCCCGCCGCTTTTAAGGTTTGTTGGGTGGGATCGCAGCAGTTCGTGGTGGGGATGTTTATTCCACACTCCCGAGGTGAGCTCTGGGCGCTCGGCCCAAGCACGAACGAGCCCTGGGTTGTAAAGGGAGGGCGGACAGGAGCTCCGGTCCGCCCGTGTGAGCGCGCACGCCTTCCCTGTGGACACGGCTGAGCTCCGGAAGGTTGCAGAGCTCTCTCTCCGCTCAGCGCTCTGCCCGCTGTACCCTGACCTTCAGCTGGAGAAGCCTGGGCGCCGCAGACTCAGGCTCACTATCCTCAACTCCAGGGACCCGAAAGGCTCTGCTCGGGCTGAAATTGGCCTGAACACTGTTAGGTTACCCACGGGGAAACAGGTGAGAGTTACAGCGCTCTCTGGAGTCCCGCTGCCGTGGTGTGGACAGGCAGCCTCTGGAGCCCCGTACACGGATCGGTTCGTCTCACACTAAGGGACGGCTGGCTCTCTTCCTTGGTCTGTTCTTCCTCACCATCACTGTTCTTTTGGGCTCTTGTGAGTTTCCGCTGTTTTTGTCCCTCGCTCTCTGTCGTTTCTGGTGGAGAATGATCTGTCCCGTTGCCCCACCTTGACCGGCGTGGAGGTCCGCCCTGGAGACGAACCACTGCGCGTGTGGGACTCCAGAGAGTCACCTGTCCGCACTGCAGCCACGCGGACTCTGAAGCGTCTGCTGCAGTTCTTACTCCTGCTCCCCATGTGTAACGTAATGATGTTTTCAGGCTAATTTCAAGATTTTCTCATGTCCTTTTGGTTTTAGCAGTTTTAGTGTGCGATACCAAGGTGCTTTCTTTTAGGGTGGAAACTTTTAGTCATCCAGCTTGCTTTAGTGTGGGCTGGTCTGGCTTCTACTCCAGTGTCTGGCCTCCTTTTATATTTTTTCTCCTCACACTGCCCTCTCAGAGCATCCATCTCTCCTACACCTGTGACTCAGCGCTCCTTGGGCTGGTGGTGTGGGGTGAGGTAGTCGCTCTCCTCTGCTCCGATGAACCCCATTCCTAGGCAGGTACTAAATTTCCTGGGGCGGCCTTCTCAGTGTCTGCTCTGCTTTTCATTGATTTTACTCCATGTGCTACGTAAAGGTCTTTTTGAGAAGAAAATTAGCAGTTACTTTTTAGCTGTGAGGCGTTAGGCTCAGGTGTTGCTTCTCTGAACCTGCTTGTTCTTAGATAAAGTGGTAAACACCGGCTTTTAAAGATGCCTTTATCTACGACACAATGTTTGAGTTATATTTTTCTTATCAACATTAATGGATAATAAATAGTACAAGAATGAAGGAACTGAAGCTTTTGTTGACATTCTTTACACTTCTAGTTCTGCTTCTGGAAAAAGCAAGCTTCCTCAGCTACTATCCAGAGTAGTGAAAGGTAGACACTCACTGTTCAGATACGAGGGTGTGCTAGGACAGAAAGGTGAGAGCCAGCAAGATGCAGGCCCTGGATGAAGGGACCAGGAAGCCCTCTGCATAGCACATGGCTCCTGGCAGCAACAGTGTCCACTGAGCTGGAGTAACCGGAAGAGAGCTCAAGAAGACAAGTGGCCTGGGAATACACTCCGAAGTCAGAGGGTGCTGGTTTAAATCCAAGAGCTTCTATCTATAACATGTAGTAATTTGGGAAATGATTCGATTCTCTATACCTTAGTGTCTTTATCCGAAACATGCCTCTTGCAGATTTGTTGTAGGTATTAAATGAGACACTACAGGTGAAAGACCCTGAGAAATAAGAGGAAACAATATGTTTGTTTCAAAAGCATAGAAGGGGTGTGATCAAAACATAAGGCCAAGTTTAAATACAGCCTTCTAAGATTTTATTATAGTGAAGACACACTACCCTTAATCCCCCTCAAAACCCACACACACCTCTCCCACACCTACTGCATTGTTTTGTACTTTCTGAAGCAGTTCTGAAAGTCCTCTTTCGTGAGTCTCCTTGAGGCTACCTTGATGTCTGGAATCAGTTCAGAACATTATGGCAATTTCTGTCAGATAAAACATGATGGTGCATCCTCATCCACCTTATTCCCTGGATCTGTCACCACAAGACTTCCAGCTCTTCCTCAAAGTCAAAATGACTATGAAAGGGGAATGTTTTGAATGGATTCAGGACATGGAGGCGGCCAGGACAACACAACTGAAGATATTCAGGAAGGAGGGCTTCAGGACCTGCTTCGGAAAGTGACAAAACAATTAGAAACTGAAAGTACAAATGAGGATCAAAAGGTATGATTGATAATGTGAAACAGGAAGAAAAGGTCTAAAGGGGAAGTGGGAGGGGCAGGGGAAAGGAAAAAATACGAGAAAAGGAAAACATGGAAACAAAGTCTCTGTAAGTAGGGAAGGGTGGAGGGGGTGAAGTGAGGGCAGGGAATGGGGAAAATAAGAACCAAGATAATCATGTAAAGGTACAAGATCCCAAGGATGAATGTAGCTGGATTATATACCTAAAATGTACCAATAAACTTAATGGGAAAAACAATGGGATAAGTGGTTTGAAGCAAGGGGTACTTTGGAGGGGTTAGTGGAAATTTGTCTTTTGCTGTAATTTTTTTAACTTAAACATTCACTATATTGGTTGATCAGACCTCATAATAACAAAGTAGAAGGTTATTTACCGGAAAACAGTAACACAAGCCAAAACCAAGACAGAGCCAAAGCTCAAAAATCCAGGAGAGAGATGACAAACCAGACACTCAGATGCCAACATTAGGAGGTAGAGGTAGAACCCACCCAGCACCAACCAGTGTTCAGGACCAGAACTGACAGGTGTGGGGTTAATGACAGAAGTTTGCCTAAAGTGGTAGAGTGGGAAGTCTACAGGGAATTCTGGTCAAAGCCACCTCTAAGGAACCTTCCAATATTCTGATTTTTAACATTACAGGGCTTTGCCTTTCTAGTTCCTTTCTAGTTCTGAAGGATCGCAGGCAGTACAGGACAGCAGTTTATTCCTGGGTGTCACCCAGCCCTCCCTGGACAACTCAGCATTGTGACATTGGCCAAGTCGTGCATAGTGTACATTCGACACTCTTCTTAATTACTTGTTGCCTACACCCCTTCCCATGTTTGGAGTATTCTCCATCTTACAAATACTGACGGGACAAGGCCTAATTCCCACTGAAGCCAAGGACACCAGATGCTGCTTTTCAGTCTCTGTAGTAGACAAAGCTTGGCCAACTGAGTCTGCAAAATCAGCAGCATAGGCCGTGGCTTTACACGGAAAGCTCACAACACAGAGAAGGAGGGCCAAAGGAGTGCACTCCCTCAAGGGTGTTGCTGTGGAATGGAATTCAAACCACACAACAGGACAGCAGCCAAGGGGTCTTCCCTGAACCAATGTCCTGGGGTTGATTTGGGTGGAGTTCTTGTTGAGTAACCTCTGAAGATGATTTGCAGATTTAAAGTTCTTCTAATAAGTTTCTTTATATAATCCTGACAAAGGCAGTTCCTTTATCCTGCAAGTTAGCACTGAGATGAACACATTGCTTCTTGGTATCAGTGACCTCACCCATGAAATGGGACAGTAGCCATCTCTTCCAATGGGAAGCTGCAGTGATTCAGTGAGCGAGGACATGAAATGCCTAAAGGAGTTCTTGAAACATAGCTTGTTCTTGGTAAATGTTTGCCATTATTATTGCATGCTTTGTAGTTCACAGGGAAATTTTGCAAATGCTATGTCATTGAAAGCTCAAAACAGCACCGAGGAAGATATAAATTTTATAATCTGAAAATTTAGGTCCCTTAACATTAAATCCCCAGAATGAAAAGAGATAGGGTTACTAAGAAAATTGAGAGTAGGCACAATTACCATCAAGATGGCTTAAGAAAGAATAGGAGTAGATAAGATCAATGAAAGGAAGAGTTGAGAAAAGGGCACCATGATGAGAACTAACTGCAGTGCTCAGAGGCCCAGACAGGGAAGATGTTGTAAAGGTACACCGAAAAGATGAGAGCGCTGAGTTAGGGCAAAGCACACTGGATAAAAAGCCAGAGAAAACAATGTTTCCAGAAATGAGTGGGCAATTCGCCTGCTTCAGATTCCTGCTCATTTTCCTACTGAAGGAAGAGGGAACATGCAGGCCTGCAGGGAAAGAGTAAGAGGACTGTAAAAAAGGAAATGGGGCCTTGCTGACTCCACAGGCAACGGACACTCCAGCTCGGTGGCTCTGAGAGTATGCAACAGGTTGATGTAAAGTGTCCCAGAGGGTGTGAGCAAAGAAGGTGCAACCTGGCCGCAGTGCACAAAGGGCTCCAATACTGTGCACTCTCACAGGAGGACACTGCCAGTGGCCTGCTGGAAGCCTGTCAGCCTGGAACCAAAGTGAACACTGAGATTCCAGGTCACTTGACTTTCAAAATATGATCCTGGTTTGTTATTTTGAGTGGACAGCATTCAAATAAAAAATGAAGTCCAAAAGAGAGGTGTAGTCAGTGGCCAAGCAGGCGGAGTCAAGCCAGGGCTAGCACACCTCTGGGTCTAAGCAAAAGGAGGAAGCAATATAAAAATAAAGCAAGTACACGAGTGAGAAACAGCTGTAGGTGCAGGGCCAGGACCTGCATGAGCACTCACTGCTCAGACACGTCTGGCACAGCACACAGAGAACAGCAGACAGAAGACTGAAGACTCAGGAGAACCAGGGCTCTGAGGAGCGAGGAGGGACCTGGGGCTGGCAGGGGACGAGTTTCCGGGACCCAGCTGAGGAGCAATGAAGAGAGGACAAAAGAGGAAAGGAGAAAAGGAAAGGGCAATGGCCAAGATAAAGAAGCAAAACACGGAAAGGCAGAGATCTGAAGAAGAATTTGGAGGAAAAGGAAATAGGGGGAAAAGGAGGGAAGTGAAATTGAGGGAGAGAACATCGTACATGTTCAACAGCAATAACATGGCTACACTATGGGGAAGGAGAAAGAAGCTTAGGTCTGCATGTAGAACATAACCTGGTGACTCCAGACCAGCCATACTCGGGGGATGCTTCGGGTTAATGCCGTGAGTATCAGCTAGTTGTGTTTAGTGCATTTATAAACAGATATCTTTTGGCAAGTGAATCAAAAAGGCCTCCACAAGACAAGAGATTCTGGGCTGCAATCCATTCACTCTGTGAATTAATTGACTTTATTTGAACTCTCCTGTTTTCAGTTGGAGAATTCACTGTGAACATGTTGTACACAGCTCAGATATCAAATAGCAAATGTACTGCAGCCAGACTCTGGAACAGACCCAAAAATTGTTCGCTCGTCAGACAGGGTTTCTCTGTGATTGGGAAAGACAACCAAGAGATAAATAAATAAAATAAACAGCTAAACAATTTGATATGTTTTCACGTTTCTCCTTTTACTTCAGAAGCACAGGCTACACCAAAAAGTGAGTAATTTTACTTACTATCGAGAGGAGGTGGTAAATGACACCTTCTCTCAAAGTAACATTTGTCCCTCAAACCTCATTTCAAGTGTCTGTCATGTATTTCTCAAAATACTCTTTTGCCATTCACAAATCAGCTGAATTTCTCTCTTATAACAAATATGAGGTATAATCAAAATACACAGTGCATGTTTAAATTTTTAAAAAAACTATTACAGGAAAAGATACACTGCCTCCAAAATACCCTCTACACACACACACACACACGCACGCACACGCACACACACGCACACACGCACGCACACTTGTCCCATCATCCTTAGCACTTTCTGAAGCAGCTCTGGAAGTCCTCTTTCCTGTGTCTTTAGTTGCACTGTCCTGGCTGCCCTGATGCCATGGGTGGTTTCCTTTCATGGTCATTTTGACTTTGGGGAAGAGCCAGATCTGGTGAATAAGGTAGATGAAGACACATTGTCATAGTCTAATTTGACAAAAATTTGAATAAATTCAAGACATTGAGGCAGCCATAAAAACAAACAAACAAACAAACAAAAAACACTTACAAAAGAAGACTTCCAGAACTTCTTGAGAAAGTAGCAAGAACAATGTGATGAGTGTGTTGGAAGGTAGGGAGAGTTTTTTGAGGGAGATTTATGGTAATCTGTTACTGTTTAAAAGACAGGATCATGGTAATCTGACTTTTACAGGTAATGTTTAAATAGTTACACATTTACTATATTTTTATCACATTTGATATTTTATTGCATATAAAAAGTTTCTTTGTGCTGACAAGCCCATGGAGTGAGTGTTCTGGTTATTTTTTTTAAAGCTGATACATTTTAAAAGGTCACGCCACCTAACCTTGTAGCCAGAATTCATGAATTTACGAAAGATAGCAAAAGATAAATACTCTGGGTCTCTTATACCAATTAGTGGCTAGATGTATGGAGAGAGAGGGAATGAGAAAAATGAAACAAGAAAAAGAGAGCAAGGGAGGGAAAACAGTTTGCTGACTTCTGTGGGATGCTGTAAGAAGAGGTTCTGGGCTGTAGTGCAGCCCAGGGCAAAGCACAGATACGCTGGTCAGGTCTCCCCGCCCCTGCTCCTACAACTACACCCGGCCAGACCTGTGAATGTGCCCTCTGTCTGTGTTTTACTTTTCCAAAACCAAGATCTCTCATTACATGTTCATCTCCTTTTTATGGCTGACATTTGGGCTAGGTGACACAGGAAAGGGTGACAGCTTTCAGGGGTAAGAATGAGGCCAGGCTCAGGAGGTTTCAGTTGGGATCAAGGGCTCCAATGGCAGCTGATCTCAAGAGCATGTGTGTTGTGCTCTTGCAAAAAAAAAAAAAAAATTGTC